GGAATAAAACCAGGAGCCAGGTTCTCCCAGTTCTTCCCTGTGTCAGGAACCCAGTTTAATTGAGCCTTCACCTGCTACCTGTTTGGTCTGCATTATCAAGAATCTGAAATGAGAAGCCTAGATCCTGGACTCCAAGCAGTCACTCCAGTGTATGATGTGACTGTCTTAACCCGTGTCTTTTTGGTTTTGTTTTGTTTTTTATTAAGGTTTTATGCTGCAGTTTCACAGGCTCTGGGATTTCTCGTCCCCCTTCCGCGTGCCCTCTCTCACCCCCTTGATTTCCCCTCTAGTATTACTCTAGGGGTGGTCCTTCATCAACAGTCCTAAGTCCATCATGCTGCTTGACCAGAATCTTAACCGCTAGCCTGAATGCCTTCCCTCTGGAATATTTTTTAAAATTCATTTATTTGGGTATAACATACATACCAAATAGCATATAAATCGCAAATATATGTCTAATGAATATGTAACTTAACGTTTTAGAATGAAGCTCCTAGCTCCTAGCTTTGGCCTAGCCCAAAGCTATTCATTTCAGCCATCTAGGGAGTGAAACAGTTAATGAATAAATTCTTTGTATGTTTCTCCCTCTGTCTCTGTATCCATGACTTTGGAAATACATCTCAAAAATAAATAAAATAAAGAAACAGCAGCAGTATCCCAAAAGTTTCCTTTAAGTTCCCCATATGGCTATCCTAGCCAAAGGTAAACACAATAAATTAATTTTGTCTGTAAGGATAGTGATAATTGGAAATCAGGAATTCAAGTTCTTCAAAGAAGTTGATAGAATTTCACAAGAATATTGCATCTTATAAATCCACAATGTCATGGATAATATATTATGAAAACAGAATTAGTCATATTACTTTTTTTTTTTTTTTTGCCAGTGTGGGATCATTTGTGCTGGCTTATGTAAGTTTAGGATTCAATATTCTTTCTTATTTAAAAGTCATATTTCTTTCCAGGAAAAGGCACTACTTTTATAACCCCAAATTTCTCTTTTTGGTGTTCATTACCTCCCTCAAAGGAAAGGCTGTTTGTAGACTGTTTGCAAATAGCATTCATCTGAACAACTTGATCAAATTTTAAACCACTGACAGACTTGGCCTATATTCCCAAAGCCATCAAGCATATGTTACTCCCTCTCTTGATTGTGAACTCTGCTAACAAACCATATTTGTTGAGTACCAATTTGATATTGTGTGTCCTTCAGGTGTACTAGAGGATAGTGAAAATACGAGGGCAGCCATATGGCACAGAACTTATTTATCGGGAAGCCTGAAACCCATAGTGTAATGTCTGCTTTCAGTCCTGGCTTCCCTGCTTCTGATCTAAGTTCCTGTTAATGGATTTCATGGGAGGCAGCAGGTGGTAACTCAAGTGCCTAGATCGTTGCAACCCACATAGGGGATCCATTTGGAGTTCTAGACTTCCTGGCTATATGAGGAGTGGCCCAAGCCTGACTATTGTGAATGATTATGGGGAGTGAACCAATATATGGAAGACCTTTCTCTGTCTCTCTGTGTGTATGTCTGTCTGCATTTTAAACAAAATGTACAAACTTTTTTTAAAAAAACATTATTTTTATTGGAAAGTCAGGTTTACAGAGTAAAGGAGAGACAGACAGAAAGATCTTCCATTTACTGGTTCACTCTCCAAGTAGCTGCAACAGCCAGAGCTGAGTCAAACTGAAGCCAGAAATCAGGATCTCCTGGGTCTCCCACGTGGGTCTTGGGAACCAAGCGTTTGCGCTGCCCTTGGCTGCTTTCCCAAGCTACAAGAAGGGAAAGGGAGCAGCCAGCATGTGAATTGGTGCCCAAATGGAATGCCAAGCTTGTAAGTTGAGAACTTCAGTGACTAGGCTAATGTACCAGACCCATATGTTTTTTTAATTTAGGGGGCTGGTGTTATGTAGAGGGCACAGCTGCCTCCTGCATCGCAGGCATCCCATATTCTCAATGATTCATGTGCTGGTTATTCCACTTCTGATCCAGCTCCCAGCTAATAGCCTGGAAATAGCAGAAGATGGCCTAGGTGTTTAGGCGCCTGCTAACAGGAAGCTCCTAGCTTTGGACTGGCCCAGTTCTGAGCATTGTGACCATCTGGGGAGTGAGCCAGCAGCAGAATATCTCTTTCTCTGTAACTCTGGCTTTCAACTAAATAAATCTTAAAAAAAAAATAAGGAATATTAGATATGATATGCACTTGGCCCCAGGGATTTAGCACTATAGGGAGATGTAGGGAAGTGGTTAAGCCTATGAACTCTGGAGCAGACTGATTATGCTTATATTCTAAATCCTTCATTGCCTAACTGTGATTTTGGACAAAATTATCTTTTTTTTTTTAAAGATTTGGTTATTTGAAAGAGTTACAAAGAGGAAGGTCTCTACACACACACACACACACACACACACACACACACACACACACACACACACACACGGGGGTGGGGAAGAAGGAAAGAAGGAAGAAGAGGGGAGATTCATCCAATGGTCAAATCCCAAGTGGCCCTAAGAACCTGTATCTGGGCCACATCAAAGCCGGGGGGCTGGAAATCCCTCTGTATCTCCTGTTTGGGTGGCAGGGCTTCAAGGATTTGGGCTATCTTCAGGTGTTTCCCCAAGCATATTAGGAGGGAGTTTGTTTGGAAGTGCTCATATCGGATGCCAGGGTTGTAGGCAGCAGCTTAACCCTCTACAACACAGTGTTAGCCCTGACAAAATTCTTAACTTTTCTGTGTGTCAATTTTCTTATCTAAAGAAAAAAGCTAAAAAGAACCTTTATGTTATAAAATCGTGTATTTAATGATTTGAGAGGTGACATGGTTTTGGCACAGCTATCAGTATGCTGCTGGAGATTTTTGAATCCTTGCTACTTTTCTTCTAACCCAGCTTCATGCTAATGTACATGAGCAGGTGTTGCCTCAAGTGGTTTAGTCCATGCCACCTACATCAGAGGCCCTGGTTGAGTTCCCAGATGTTGACTTTCACTTGTTGCAGCTCCAGCGGTTGGTGGCATTTTGAAGACCTTTTTTGTTGATACGTGTGAAGCATTTTAACTGTTTCTGGCACCTAGTAAACCCTCATTGAGTGCTAATTGTTATGGTTATAAATTGTCATAGGGATCATGGACGAACTATTGAAACTAAGACCAACGTAGTGCATAGTTAAATTCCACAGTAAATGATAAACAAATCTAAGCAGCTCACATCACTACTTCGAAATATCTGTTTCATGGGCCATCTTGCCTTGCTTGATTCAGAGTCCTGATTTATATTCTTTATTCAGCAATGGGGAAAAATAATAACCTATAAAAGTCATGACCTACCTAAGGAAGCTATGATTGAAGCCCCAAGTAGACCTTTTGCAACTCCTTGCCTTTCCTTGATTTAGGATGCTCCTCCCTATCCCAAAGTCAGCCTGGTTTTGTTCTCTAAACCTTCTCTAGTGAATAGCATTCTAATTTATTCTTTAGGTGTGTTGGTGCCCAGTGAGTCATCTATGACTTAGTGTTGCACTCATGTTCTTTTTCAATGAATATCTGACCAAAAATCAGTTATAATGAAGGGGGGCGGGGCAGGGAATGGGAATTTTTATTTGGGGAGAGATAAATAATTTTGAAATACAGAGGGTTTTTTTTTTCTCCCTGTATAGAGATTTTTTTCAGTGAAGTATCAGACAGGATGATGTCATTGAGGTGAATGGATGAGACAGAAATAAATATTATGTCAAAATGTATTGCATCTATGTTTTAGCACTGGCTATGAGTGTAGCTTTTCATTATTATAAATTAAGCAGGCTTTCGGAAGGGGGAGTCATGCCAGGAAATTATTAAAATTTCTGCAAGAGATAAATTCGTTTTTTGGAATACATCTTCTTAACATTTAATGCAATCAGTAAAAGCCATATAAATCTAGACTAGGTCATCTTCTTTTTTTAAATTTTTTTTTTCATCAGCGGGTATTGAACAGAAAGAAGGAGAATAGTGCTTGTGAACTGGATAATCCTGTTTTGTATTTCAGTATTGGGAAAGCAAAGAGATTAAAGATTTGAAAGCAAGAATGAGTGTGTTGTCTGAGGGAAAGTCGAAAATAGTAGAAGGTGAGACTGGCTAAGTAGTGTTTCAACTACCTAGCTGAAAATTCTGGATTCTTAAGGGAGAAATAGTTAACTTTAATGCTTATTATCTTTTATTGAAAATGAACCCCGTGTTAGCCTCCTTTTTCAGTACAAGTTAATTTTATGTCATTTATACTTTAAAAATGGCTGAATTTAAGAGACTTGCCACTTTGCAAGTTTCTTTAGATAACAGTCCAACTCTCTTAAACATTGTGACAGTTCAAAGACTACATTACATAATCCTTGAATTTTGAAAGGAAATAAGACCTTCAGAAATACTCATTATTAAGCATGGCCTGGCATAGGTCCAGTACCTGACCGATAACTGTGTTCTCCCACCTGTGATGCTGAAGAGAAGCAATGAAAGAAACGTTATTAGTAATGTAACAGAAACACATTATGTAAAGCAAGAGTAAATTGTATGTAACATTTCTATATGTTTTTCAGAGGAACAATAAAGTGTGTGTGTGTGTGTGTTAAGAAATGCAGAATGAACACCTATAATTTTAGTTATAAAGCATGAATGGTTTTTTAATTTGAGCAGTAATTGGTGGTGATAAAAAGTAAAAATGAAGACTTATAAATCCCATTTTAATAGAAAGAATTCTGCATCTGTTAAGAGTAAGCCCCGATTTAAATTCATACAGAACTTAAGAATCTATTCATTGTATCTGTTCCAGTGGCTGCCACATCCAACTCAGTTTCTCTTTATGATTTAGTTTGTTTTTCATAAAGTTTTCTTAATGTATCAGCAGTCAACTATTTCCAGATTAATTTAGTAGTTTCAACATTACTTAGAAAAGATTTGTGTGAATATTTAAAAATTTTTCTAAATTCACCATTTTGATACAAATACCCATGGTTTTCTTCTGTGTTTACATGCAGCCAGGAGCTATGGGCGGAGACGAGGTAAATTTTTTTAATGAGATCTTTTGCTTGCCAAATTGTGAGTAATAATGAGTGTGTGTGTGTGTGTTTGTACCCATGTATGTATAAAACAGTTGTTTCTGTATGGTGTGATGTTCTAGCTTGATGAATGTTGTAGCAAAATATTAGTCATCACTTTTCTTATAATTACTTTTATTGTTAGTTCATAATTTGTTCTTTTGATCCTAATAAAGACTATTTTCTATCCAGTTCTTGTTGTATGGTTTATTGTGAGTGTGTATAAGGAAATAAAAATCACAGTGTATGTTTTTCTGCCTACATTCTCTGTGTTCTTTTCTTTCTATTTGGGAAGCAAAAACTAGATGTTAGAGGACAGTTTGTGATCTCTGTTGGCTGGTTCTTTTTTTCTGTTATATTTGGAAACAGATTTGCCCAGAAGCTAAATGAACCTTAAATTTCAGGAACTCTAACTTTTGGGGACCCATTCCCATGTCTTCACCTAATTTGTGTGCTTTTTCTTAAAAAGAGACCCCAGGTTAGCTTTTAGTTCTCATGAACCTCACCTTATCGCTGGTAAAATGCAGACAAAATAATCTAACTTTCATCTGTGTAGTTCAAGCCATTTTATGAAGTGGCTTGGTGAAATCTAATGGATTAGAAAGAGGATAGGACTTATTCAAACACCTAGGCTATAATCATTGCGCTCTCTCTCTCTCTCTTTATAATTTATTTTATTTCACTTCATTTGAGAGACACTTACAAAGAGGGAGGAGAAATTTTTCATCCTTGGTTTACTACCCTAGTGACTGCCTTGGCTACTCCTGGGCCTGAGCCTGGGCCTGGGCCTGTCTAAAGCTGCGAACCAGGAGCTTCATCTGGGTCTCCTACAGGGGTGCAGAAACTCTGAGCACTTGCGCCTTGCTCTGCTGCCTTCCCAGTGGCCTGACGAGGGAGCTGGATCGGAAGTGGAGCAACCAGGACTGAAACTGGTGGGCTGCAGGCACTACTGGTGGCCGTTTATCTGGCAAGGCCACAATGCCTGTCCTGCCTTATTTCTTAAATTCAATCTTGTCCATATTCAGAGTGTTACTGAAGTTCTAGTTGATAAAAAGAAACAACATGTAAATGAAAAGCATGCCTCACATCTAAGTTATTTCGCTGTTTATTCACAGAAGCTGAACAGATGCAATATTTATTTGTATAACCTCATCTTTTAAGCTAGAATCTGTTTTTGGCTCTTTATTTACTGACACTTACCATTTGTCAGGCTTTCTCTGACTTTGTAATTGAGTCACAAAGAGAAGATAATGATATTGAGTTCCCAACATTGAGTTATTTATTCAAGGGTGAATATCTGTTGAATCAGTAAATATTGGCAGGACTTAACATGTATGCATCATAAAGTTATACATTTACTTCTGCATACAATACTTTTGCTTTTTAGTATGTTGAAAAGCATTTGCATACTTGATTATGTTTTTAGCTGTGGAAAGAAATCTGTTGTTAATGTCTGTTGCTTTAGTTTTAAATGTAAGATAATAAAGCATAGAAGTATCATTAGAATTCATATTGTATCATACCACACTTTTAAGAAGGATGAGGAGTGGACTGTCTTCTGGAGAGTAGAAAGCAGGTGGCCCTGACCTCTTTTCTCACATACCCTCTCGTTTTTGTTTTGTTTTTTAAGATTTGTCTATTTATTTATTTAATTGGAAAGTCAGTTTTACAAAGAGGAGAGACAGAGAGAAAGATCTTCTGTCTGATGCTTCACTCCCCAAGTGACCACAATGGCTGGAGCTGAGCTGATCTGAAGCCAGGGGCCAGGAGCTTCTTCTGGCTCTCCCATGCAGGTGTAGGGTTCCAAGGCTTTGGACCATCCTCTGCTGTTTTCCCAGGAAGAGAAGTTGAGTAGCCAGGACGTGAACCAGTGCCCATATGGGATCCTGGCACATACAAGGAGAGGACTTTAGACACGAGTCTGCCTCACGAGGCCCATCCTCTTGTTTTTGAGGCCTTGTCTATTTCTAACTCATCTCCATTCTTGTTTAGTTGCGTCTTGCTTTTTCTGAAACATCACTTTGTCCATTTCACACTCATCACTGTGCAGGGTTCCTAGGATTCTGGTCTCGGTATGCTTCACCAGCTTCATCATTTCCATTTTCCCGCCTCCTCTTCCCCTGACCACTTGCCAGCCATGGAAGTACTGACCGCTGTTTTCTTTCATCTACTTGAAGGCATATTTTTAACTTGGTTAATCAAGCCTGATTTAAGCCTTACCCTTTCAGAAAGCCTTGCATAGACCTTGCAAGCTGTTTCCCTCTGCTTCTACTGCCTTGCATTCTGCCTGTCTTTATTATATGCCCTGATTCTTCAACTGGAAAAAAGGTCTTTTGAGATGGTTATCTGTCTTGCCTGATACATTATACCCTATGCATTATACCTATGCAAAATGAGCCTTTGTTAAATGCTTTCTGATTAGGGTTAAGCTAACACTCCCAGATCTTTGCAGAGCAGAGTTAGGCATATTTTTTTAAAAAAAGTTTCTGTAAGCATATTAAATACAATATATTGAGCATATAAAATCATCTGGTTTCGAAATGCCTTAAAAATCACTCTCCTTTTCCATTGATACTATCTCTGTATATATTTATGACTTTGGCTTAACTATTTTCAGAATCCATAATCATCTTTGTATCAGGTATTAAACTATGTATTGCCTAGAGTGACTTGATTTCTGCTCTTTGCAAGTTTGCAAGTTTGGTGGCCATAAATGAAGAAAATAATGACACAGTTGTATGTGAGAGACTGAAAGTATTTAAAGATTGAATGTTGGTGTGGTGGGGTTTTTTAAAGATTTTATTTTTATTTAAAATGGTGAGTTGCAGAGAGACGGGGAGACAGAGATTGAGAGAGAGATCCTCATCTACTGGTTCACTCCCCTAAATGTCTCCAACATCCAAAGTTGAGCTGATCTGAAATCAGTAGCCAGGAGCTTCTTCTGGGTCTCCTACATGGGTGCAGAGACTCAAGGACTTGAGCCAACCTCCACTCCATTTCTAGGCTAAACACAAGGAGCTGGATGGGAAGTGTAACAGCCAGGACATGCACTGGTGCCTATATGGGATGCCAGGACCACAGGTAGAGGCTTAACTTATTATACCTTGACACCAGCCCCAAATGTTGGACTTCTGTAATGCAAGTACAGGCAGATATATTTGATCCATCCCATTTCATATTCTCCTATTCCCACATCATCTTCCTTAAGTGCAGTGACTTAGCCACTGGGGGCGGGGCAGGTGTACCTCTTATCTAGAGAGCTCTCATTTTTTGAGAAATACTTATCTGGACCAATTCTGCATAGTATAATTTTTGTGAGATAGCAGATTTCCTCATGCTCATTTATTCATGCAGTTAGAGACTGAATTAACACTTGATCTTTTTTCTCCAATTCACATTTAGACCTTCTGCCTCAAAAGTGTGAAAAAACAAGTTTGCGGATTTTTGTTACTTCACTCTACCTGTGATTAAGAATAAGACTTAGGCTGTAGCTCATACTCTGTTAAACACACATGTTGGCAAACTTTTAGGAATACAAAGTATAGGAAATAATCTTAAAAAGCGCTGGGAGTTCTTGTGGTGAGAATTAGGCAAGTGACATCTTAATACCTCTCATAGACAAGCTTTCTGTAATTGGTAGAATTTCAAGAGCTTCTTAGATGATGAAAAAAGAATGAGAAGCAAGGCATTCTAGTTTGTGTCTCAACTTAGGAGAAACTTCAGAGAGACTGTCATGACCAGATACTTGGAATATATGACCCTAGTATACACAGTGGGGCCAGCTAGAGAAAAAAAGCTGACAGTGAGATGTCTGTGCTTCCCTGATGGATAGATTTTGGAAGAGAGGATAAGTCTCTTGGACGCGTAAATGTCAGACTTGAGAAAGAGGGTTCATGATAGAAGTGATGAAAGAAGGAGAGAACGTGGGCGTCAGCTGAAGGCTGGATGAGCACACTAGAGGCAGACCTTTACAAACCAACTACCAGTAATTCTGTTGAAACAGTATTGCTAGGAAAGGAGCATAATTGAATATGAGAAAGATTGAACATAAATTTCAATTTTATATAAACATTAAAACACCCATTTATATTTCCCTTTGATATCCCTTTTTAAAAATTTTGTTCCACTGGTTATATCTTGGTCTTGTTTGTGGAGTAAAAGTAATACCAAAGAATCTTAACATTTTCCCCCCAGTATTCTAACTTTGACAATCTCTGATATGTTCTGTTATCCAACAGCCATTTCTAGTTTCCTGGGTAGAAAATTGCTGCCTACACATTTAACAGAGGTTGTGTTTTTTCCTGTCCACTTGGATGTGAGATTTTGTAGTTTTGTAGTCTGTCTGGAACTGTTGTCAGTAAGTAGACAGGTTGGCTGTCCCAATATTCTTAATGTTTCTAGAGCAGTAAGAAGCATATAGTTCATCCTTGAAAATAATGTAACCAAAAAATGCAAACAATAGCTTGAGTGACTCTTGTGGATATACTTATGTAAAATGTAGTCCATAGAAATCTGTTGACATGAATGGATAATTTAGTTGATAGCAAATGTTCTGAAGTCTAGTAAAACACATTTATATGCTGAGTTAATGTCAAGTCTATCAAAACCCTGCTGGAGGTTATGAGGAGTAATCAGCTGTTCTTATGAGACTGTGGTACAAATAGATCATCCTGCTAACTCAAACCCATTTATATGAGCTTGCTTATTTAAAGTTCTTGGTAGTTCCAGCAAGAAAAAAACATGGATGATTTATATATTTACATACACACACTCAAATATATACATATAAATAAATATACATGTATGTGTATATATATAAGAATTTATGTATATATGTTAATGTATCTCTATAATATCTAAACATTTTACTTCTCATTGTAGCAGTAAAATCTAAGCACAGAAGCTAGGGGGATAAGATTCTAGTTTTCATATGTTTTTGGTTTTGTTTTTGTTTTCATTTTGTG